TTTTAAATTTTTTCAAAGTCATAAATAACAGTGGTTTCAATTTTACCATGTAACTAATTCTTTCCTGAACAAGATAAGACAGTACATTACCAGCTCTGGAAGGACTTCAAGTAAAGCTCAAGTTCATACTACTAATTAAATTCTTGGCTGGTACAAGGATCCCCTTCATATTTTATAAAAATGGGCATGTGTTTTCCCTAGTTGCCAAATATAATACCTCTATTCTTTAAAGCATTTTTGTTTGTATCCCCAAGGCCTTGAAAAAGATTCTTAGCAGCATCAAACAGGACTGACCTGTTTCTTAGTCTTTCTCTCTTCTTGTACACAAGCACAGCAGCAAATGAACTCCCATACAATCACAGAACAGAAAAAAAACCCCAAGAAATCTCAATGGCACTGCTTGTCCAGAGATTGTTTAACATATGTTTACTACTGTCTATGTTTTCAGTTCTCTACAGGAAAAATAATGTAGCAGTCTACAAACATTTAAAACACTTTTACACAAGGATTCAGTAAACAATCAACATTAATAAATATTATTTGCTCCTTCAAAAAGATCAATTTTTGAAGAAAATAAAATGTATTTGGCTTGCACACAATTTTAGTGCATTTTAAAATGGTCAGGTGGAACGAAAAAACCTTGAAAACAGTCCATTTTTAGTACCTGCCCCTTTCTGTGTGATTTACCTAGTAAACAAATACAAAACATCATGGCTTTCTATTAAAATGCTCAAACAATCTATTTAAGAGCAGGAGTCCATATTAAAATCCACAGTTGCTTGTACTAGCAATCTAAAAATAAAACACCCATATTCCATTAAACTTAAGTTGAAGGTTGTCTGTGCTGCTGTCCTGTGAATCCAGATGCTTTAGCCAAAGAAAAATTTTTAAACGAATGAAGGGCCTGTATTGCAATTTAATAGTGCTTAATATCCCTCATGATTCTTGTTGGGTCCTCTTCTGTGAGGCTTTTCCCTGAGTCATGTATTTATTGGAAAGGCTGCCTAGGATGGGAGGAAGAAAGCATCACACTTTAAAGGTTTAAAGAAAAAAAGAAAAAAGACATAAAACAACTGAAAATCATGAGAAAATTACTGTTAAGTCAAACTATAGTGAAAGCACACACAGATCAACTTTAGATCATTACCTGCTGGAGGATGGTAGGAAATATTAAAATACAAAATTGAAAACTAGCATTTTTTTCAACTAAACACCTAATGACTAATCACTTTGTGTTTAAAATCCCCGAACTTATATTTGAAAAAGCCTTGCAGTGAAAACAGAAAATACTGTGTCTTCCCAACAAAACTGAGAATTTAATTTGAGATACTTCATCGCAGTTTAGTTTTCCAAAGTTTATAAAGACTATTTAGGTCCCCCTTCAGGTGCCCCAGAAAAGATTTATATATTTTATTGAAAAAACCCTAGCTGCTAAAAGGTTTGCAGAGTTGCACTAGAAACTCAAAGTAGTTAAAAAAAGCAGTTGCTTCTTCATTGTACCTGTAAATAAGTGTGTGAAATTACTGTAAGGAAGCTACATTTGTAACGATGCATTGAACACAAAACATCTCTGATCCAGAAAGAGTACATAAAGGCCTTTATATTATCATCTGACTGCTCCTTGTAAGTTCAATTTTAACTTCCTTGCATTTTGGCAGCTCAGACCAAGGAGGTGCTTTGATAGTCTCTCCTAAGTTAGCTGATCATGTGGAATTTTAGACAATTACTATGAGGAAGCCTCACAACAAAGCGCTCCACATGTCATCCCTGAAGAAACACAGAACCCCACATATGCCAAAACAGGAGAGAGGAATAGAGATTGATAAAAACCCACCATATCTTTCTGCAAAATAAATCTACCAGAGTTAAAGAAAAAATGCACAGAACTGACACGCCTAAGTTCTGCTTCCAAAATAAAACTGAAAAAAACTGCACACTTTTCCAGTAAAAAAAACCCAGGGCTTCACTTCAGAATTATCTAGCAACCTGTCCAGACTGCTGCTGTGTTCAGCAAATTAGGCAGAGTTCCCATAAGGACTGATGGGGAAAGCAAGTTAAAAATACATGCTTTTATGCAGAATTTCTGAATTGAAATGAAGATATACAAACCTGACTGGGGACTCAAAAATACTTTTCCTTTCTGTTTCTTCTTTTCTTCATGTATAAGCACTCCCTATAAACAACATATACACATTGATGAACCAACAAAATTGAATTATGGCATTCCACAATAAACAAAAAAAAGGTTCTCCTTGAAAGCTTAAGTAAAGCTATTTTTAGTTACTTTATATGAACTTTAGCACATTAAAAGAGAAAAAGATCTGAGAAAAGGGACGCTTGGTGTTTACCTGATTTAGTCTACCAGCATGTTTGGCAGTGCTGGGTAAAGAAGGGGATCCACACAACACTTCTGGTTTTGAACCACCTGAAAAGATCATAATATAACAAAGATTTGCTAATTTGAAACTAGTTTCCATTTCACATATTGTAACATATAAAAACATCAAAATATTTGCCATCTACCTTCATAGCATGTAGAAGAGACGACATTGTTACCTTCCTCAGTTTTATAACGTGGAAAACTGGCACAATGAGGTGAGATGCATCTCTAGTTAAGCATCTCAGTTAGGAAACCTACAATAAATTAAGCTCTGTATCCTCCTCTAGAATCAGAGTGAGACAGGAGCTTCAGAAAGTGAATGCAGACATGGTGTTAAGTGAATTGTCCATAGTCTCACACAACATTTGCAGCACAGCAAAGAACGAAGTCCGATGTCATAGGTCCAGTTGTTCATAGTCCTCTATTTACCTAGAGAGAACACTTGCTTGCTAAGCAAGCAAAAAAAGACAAAGCCCAACCTACAGCAATTCTCTTCAAATTCAAATATAGTAATTCCCAAAATACAGGTAATAGACAAAAACTCCTACTCCAGAATTCATGATTTTAGACTGTACAGCCTCAGGATAGTTCTCATATAATGAATGTTATGAAATACACCGCTGTCGCTGACTACAAAAGAGCCAGGCATACTCCCCTTCACCTTGGCAAACTCAGTAACATGGCAAATGGAATGGTAGACAATGAGAGCTCAAAGTTAAAGAAACTCAAAAGTTAAATTTAGACTTGACTTACACCTTCAAAAGGTGTATAAAGCTGAATAAAATGTGGCTTCAATTTTTAAACATCTTTTCTGTCCAACCAACACTTCTAGTGGTCTGTCAAACTAAGAACACTTCTAAATACCTTGAAAGTTCTGAATATATTTGCACCATTTTCCTCCTGCTTCCAGTACTTTGTTAGCACAGTTTTATGCCCTCTTCCACCAATTACATCTGATTAAGAAGAGGCTCCTGAACTAAGCCAGACAGAACATTTTTGCTAGTAGAGAAGAGCTGGTTTGAAATTATGTTTATACAAAGGATTCCTATTTGTTACTTTAAGAGGTAATCTTGAGTAATCTGTAGAGCATACTTTTCCCAGCATGAATTTAAATGCTCCTAGGTTTACTTACAGGGAAACAATAATACTGTGTTCCTTTGCAACCTAACTAAAAGAACCATTCGCTGTCTTAAGGAGTCTCATTTTTATCTTAGAATGATTTTCCTTTACAACACAAATTATGAGAGATC